GTATTTTCTGTGTTGAGAGGCCCTCCAGATGGCTAACAGAGCCTATATTCAACAACATGGAAGTGATGGTTTTTCCAGATCCTGTACCCTCAATACCATCCAGACCATGAAACAAGTCTTCGGTGGCATCTAGCATGTTTTTTTCCCTTTGTGCCGGTGATCTTATTCTTCTGCCCTCCTCTGCCGGATAGTGTTCATGTCGAGTCCATGTGGTTCAGCTGCTCTTCGAGCGGCGCGCAGGTTTCCATAGGCCTGCTCTTGTCACTACTGATGACCCAGTGAGCAGCTTGGCCATTTTACATGTTCCGCAGCATGGTATGGTACAGGAATGATGATTGTAGGCATGGTTTTTCATTCGTGTTTTTGACTACTCGCGACGACGCGCTCAAGGCGTAGCTGCCCAAAATGGAGTGCGATCGGGTGATTCAATCTCATTTTTCTAGAACTACGACGAGCGAGAAGGCCAGTGTGACCGTTACAAGGGGCGCTTAGCGGGCGCCTCTGGAAGGGGGGGGGTCTCTGCTAGGCTACCCCAGACGTGTCGAAGACACGTCTGGGTACGAGACCAAGTAATCGTGTTCCATAGGGTTATATCGTCATATTCGCCTACTGCCGCGGAAGCTGATTGTACGTCCCTCTGATCCTATCTTGTCCCCATCACCGTCAGTCCATCTAGCTTGACGACGGCTGTAGCCCGTTCATGCGCTTGAATGCTAGGACAGTCCCGTTGGGATGTGGACGTTGGACGCGAGCTGTGTGCTAAGGGAACAAGCCATCTGAAAATACGTCTTTGGCGAGCTCGGGTACCTCAGGCGATGAGCTTGCTCATTGGTCTGGCAAACATGTTTGAATGGGTTTGAAATAGGACTTTGACTTTGCTAAAACTACCTTTTGGTGGCGTTCTCCGTTCCTCAGGAACGGAGAAGATATTCATAAAAGGGATACAGTCACTCAAGTAAGCGTGACCTGATTGCGCGGTTATTATCAACCAACATTCAAATGATGCCATGATGACGGCCGAATCCGCCGCAGTGAGATATCACCGTAACAGCCTCATGCATATGGAGTGGAATGGTGTTTACCGTGATAGCGTCAAGGTAGCACCGATGCGAGATGCATGCTGTATCATGATACTCTGATTCTAAGCCCGGTCAGCTGCCCACCCACAGGACACGAGTTTATCAGAAGCAAACCCAGCGGAGGCCTCGCAACGCCGCAATGGGACTCACAGTGGCCGCGTCCCGAGGCCTTCCTATGCAACCGCTCGAGTCTATTTCTCTTGCAAAATGATATCTCGTGAACTCAACTCAGACGTGGTGCGAATATTTGGGCTTAATATGCCAACTCTGGCCGCTTCCATCCAATTTGCAGACGAAGAATCATCCCGAAGACATCCGCATGTACATGAGACACTCTCCGCACAGCTTCCGGATCCCAATCAGCTGCATGGCGTTGTCATGACGCGATTATCTCATACAATGCCCATCATAATCTACATATGAAGGCGATTGCCAGCTTCACTCCTGGGTGCTTTGCGACGGCTTTCCATAAATTACTCGAGTATTACATTTTGCGTACTCAAAGTTCGCCTACACAAAGTCAGTACGGATCCAAGACGTCCACCATCATGCCCTCATCTATTGAAGAGGAAATAGGCGGATTCACGTTGTCCATAGATATTGCTATTATGTACGTTCCTACTCCTTCCCACCACTTCCCCTAGCCAATTCATGACACCTGCATCCGAAGTCTGTACGGAATTGTCACCGCGCAGGCATACTTCTACTGGTGGGCATCACAAGAGGACTCGAGTTTGCTTCGTTCGATGGTTGTATCCGTGTGGTATGCAAGACCCTCGCTTCAGCCACAAAATATGTCTCACCATACTATACTCTTTTGAAGGTGTATAGAGACCGCGCACACCCTATTCTGCATATATATGAGTTACTATTACACAATCATCAAATTTGGGAATTTCGAAGGCATTGCCCAGACCACTTGGTAAGCCCTGCTTCTGTCTTCTGGTTCCTTGATTTCGTACTCAATATTCGTTCTAGGACCGCCGGAGTGCGTTCAAACACTTTGTAATCATCTATTATTTCAAATTTATAAAGTACATTCGGCATGTAGGCTACATTATTCTCAGAAGTACGTTTACTGTCATCAGATCGGTTCTGTTGCATACTCGAAAATTGACTTGGAGCGCAGCAATTTATTGCAGGCTTGGTTCAGAGGTGCGATTTGATGTGTTTTCTGATAGCGTCTCATATGACGTTTTCTCAGCTTTTTTATTTGGCGAATTTGGATATGTGCGTCCTCACATACTCTCATGTGACTTGACTGTGTCAATTGGTGTGTGTAGTGAGTAGAAGATCTATTTCTCTGGTCTTCATACTGGTGAGTTCTTTTCTTGAGGTTAAGAATGTTTGAGCTTGAGTATCACAAAGGCAATTTTGCTCTTCATGCGTATTGGTGTGTATAATTTTGACTATCTTTGCCACACAAAATCTAATCAATATCATTTCAGTATCTGGATTCGGTAGGAGTAAAATTATAGCATCCATCGTACACTATGTTTTGATTTTTTAATGACCTCCGTTATAGCATCAGCGACCTTCATGTACGCCAGCGACCATTCATTTTTGTTTTGTTTTAATATCTTTGGCCTAATTTTTATCAGGTGGAAGTTTCATACCTGGGCTGAGTACAGATCGTTCAGCGGAGTTCTGGTGTACTTTTCAGTCGAATAGCGATATCGTGAAGATTATTGACAATGTCTCGTCCTACGACAGATCACGGCTACGTGCTGTCTCGGCCTGTCAGGATTTCTGGACGTACTCATCGCTTTCAGCCAGATTTATTTTCTTTGGACTAGCCGTTCAGGTCACCAGGCGTGAGTATTTACTGTGTTATGTTGAATCGGCAACTGAACCACTTTATTAGGACAGATAATTTGGTTCAGACATTGATGGCCTACATTATCAACACTGGTGCTTTGTCGATGTAAGTCGAGTCCGTCTGTTCACGTTCAGTTGACTCACAGTCCCCAAAGGTGTGTTTCGATGACTATCATTGCAACGGTATGAGTACTCGTCGACGTTGCATGCCTCCTTTATTTACGCATACTGTATCTAGTTTTGGATACCAGCGTTGAAGAGCAGTCTGCTCTTTGGTGGATTAGGCGAGATCCAGAGCAAACGTGCGCGCTTCTCCTGATCTAGCAATTGCATTCTTTTTTTTTTTTTT